GTCCCTGGATTCTGGGGCAGTCTTCTGCAGCACACTGGAAGTCTCGTGGGAACTTCAGGGAGTTCTAAAAAAAAAAAATCATAACAGTAATACTTAAATTTAGTACCAAAAGAGAAGCATTACATTAACAGTTTGGCATATTGAAGATGTTGTATGTGCATCAAGTTTTCAGGATAGGGAAGCTGGGGAATCTGGCAGCTGGGAACCCAGGAGAGCAGCAGTTTGACTGTGGAATGTTTCTGCAAAAGCTCAGTGAAAGTTAATACTGACATTTAAATTGTTGGCTTCATATTTGGGTTAATATTCATTAAGATGAATTTGCCACTATAAAGGATGTAGGGGGCACAGTTTAGTGGCCATGGCATTGGAGAAAGAGTCAAAGACCTGGGTTCAATTCCTGGCTCAGCCACAGACTTCTTTGTGACCTGTGTCACTTACTCTATTACACATCAAGTTTCCCTCCTCTGTCAAGTGAATAAAAATCTTTCCCATTTCAGCAGATGTATTGGGAGACTCATAGATGCTACAGCAACAAGAGCCATATACTTACATAGACGATGCTGGTTCACTCCTCAGGTCCATGATTTCAGGCTGTCTGCAGACAGAGGAAGAAAAAACTACTGCCAAAAGGGCTAAGATGTTCATATAATATCATTAGGGGTGGGGGGGAAGTTTTGAGATGAAAGAGCACTTTATAAATGGAGAAAGTTATTTATAGTCTCTAACTAGTCTGAGGTAGTAAATCCAGACGCCGTGCATACACAATATCAAGAACGCATTTGGAACAGATCAGTCAGATTGTATTAGAAGTAGCATCTTCAAATACCATCTTGCTTGTAAAAAGTTCATTTTACTGAAGTCACCACCACACAGAGTGAACAAGTCCCTCAGCTCTGCCATGAATTCACAATATAGTATATTAACATAGGCAGTTGCAGACCAGTTGATGGTGGACTGCTGAGTCTCCTTATTCTTAGCTGATAAACTGCATGAAGGCACCTAAAAATGCATTATTTTCCTCTTGTTCTTTTCCCTAATAAACAATTGCTGCTGGTAGCTCAGACAGGATAGGGGAGCTGGCCCACACAGTTCTCTATCAAAGAGGACCCACAAGGATTTTTTTTGAAGAGTTAGTGTTGTAGACTTTTTAAAAAATTCCTTTGTGTAAAGGCAGCCTGAAGATATTTTAAAGCGAGAGGGGGAGAACCCACACACTTACCTTGGACATATCAAGTCTAGTCTTTCCAGACTTTGCTGCAGGTCAGTTTTGGTGTATTGTGAGATCTCACTTTAACTGAAGGTGCTGGGATACTGAATGAGTCCTTTATCCAAAGTGGTCATTAGATTCTGTGTACAGACAGAGAACATCTATTTAATTCAAAAACTGGAGCTAACCAATGTAAACATTGATTACCCTCTTCCCATCTCATTTGCTTAACTTTCATTCTCTTGTGATATCATTTCACTAGTTCTGTAGTCCCCATAGAGTATTTCAGACTGAACAAGACCTGAGTTTAAAGAAGACCAGCAAATTTGTTTAGTTTTTTATATAAAAGAGTACACGCCCAATTCCTATCTTTTAGGATGGTTCACCATATGAAAACAAGTTTGAGAATCCCTCTGTCCTATGTTAAGATTGATAACCCCACATCCCCAAAAAGCGTTTATCCTTAGTCACAGACACTACCAGAAATATAGTCAAGTTCTGTGGGTTCCGGTTTTAGCTATAACTAGTCAACCAACTGAACTGAGACAGAGCAATGGCTAATGGACAGGACTCTAGACTAAATTCACTAACATGTACTGTTAAATGGGCTCAGATCTTCATATAGTATCATTAGGGATGATTTGTCTCTGCCAAAAGGCCTTGAGAGAGAGGCAGCTTTGAAATGTAACCTTCATTTATAGTCCCTGTAACTAGACTAAGGTAGTAAATCCTTATGCTGTGCATATACAATATCAGTATCACACATGTGCAACAGAACAGTAACGTTCTAATACTCGCTTTGTTATGTGACATTGGGAAAGTCACCACACCTTTGCCTCAGCCCTTCCTACCTTTTGTTTTGTCTATGAAGATTGAATAAACTTTGACACAGGAGCTGTTTACAGCATCTAGCATAATGTGCTCCCAATCTTATTTTGGCCATTTGGTGCCACTTAATGCACCAAAGTTATCTCTAAAGGTGAGGACAACTCAAAAGTGATAAAGTGTAACTGAAGTTTCACTTTATTCCACAAGGTGGTATTACTGCCTAATCTACTGTGCAAAGCTCACAAGATAAAAAAAGAGAAACCGTTTCCTTAGCTGCCTTACCATTTCAAGAATCACGTTTCAATTATAGGTTTTATTACTTTATACAGAATTGCTCTCTAGACAAGACATTTGGTTTGTTTTACCTTAATGAAAGCTACACACCGGGCTATTTCATTCAAACACTTCTCTATTTATGAAACAAAAAGGCATGTAGCCTAGTCTATCCTAATCTAATACATTGACAAGTTCCATGCAATTGCTTTCAGTACACTAACTACTTACTTAGACAAACCTTCACGTTTTCCCCAAGTTAAATCTTGATTTTTTTTTAAAAATTCAATATTGGGAGCTCATTTGCACCAAGGATATTTCAGATGGCTAAAACATAAACTGTTTAGGTTTTATATAGATAAAGCCACCAGCTTCTGTGAATTAGTCTGAAATGGCAGTTCAGTGGGTGTATCTGTCTGGCCTGCCACCATCACCACCACAACAGCAGCTACAAGGCCAATATTCTTCAGTTCAATGCATGAAGGAGTCTCAATTATTGTCTAATAAAAGCAAACTCTATAGAACTTTTTACTTGACATTAGGGGCTATATGGCCATTGTAGTTTGCACTTGTGCAACAATCATTTGTAAAATAAAATATTTGCATAGGCAAATGTAGCTGTAGCCATAGCCATAGCCTGCTTCTCTTATTGAAAGGCAGTGGGAGGTTTGCAAGTGAGTTCAAGAGAAGCAGAATTGGATCCAGCATTTGTCTGATTTATGTGCACAAACTTTTTTGCCCATGAGAGTCTATCCTTTCTATGTGGGAGCTGGGTTCTAGCTCGTTTGGTAAGTAAAGATAGAACAGACAAATCTTCATCTAAGAATGACTTAAGATTTGACAGAGCAAAATAGAAAAGCCGAGCAGAAATACATTTTAAATAGGAAGTGATCTTTAAGGGGGGGATGTGTTTACATGTCATTGCATTACATGCCCCAGTTATTAATACCACTCTTTTTTGAACAGTACTTATGTAGGGCATGTCTATACTAGAAACATAAGTCAACCTATAGTAGGTCAACTTACAGCCACCACAGTAATTGCTGCAGTGGTGCATGTCCACATACTGTCCTTGGATCAGTGGTGTGCATCCTCACTAGGGGCACTTCCACTAACCTAAAAGGGACAGTGTGGGGAGCTGAGAGCCCTGTGTCTCAGGTCCACTGGCAGCTCCCTGCCAGGAGCCTGGCTCCCCACAGGCTCCCAGCGAGCTGCTCCTGCCTGATCCCCGCCAGGAGCCAGGCAGCCTTGTCAGTTTCACAGCTTCAGGACAGTCATGAAATTGACAAGACAGCCAAGGTTCCCAGCTGGGAGCAGGAGAGTGAAAGGGAGAGAAGCTGCCTGGGCTTCTCCTCCCTGCTCCCAGCTCTCCAGGGAAGTGGGGGCAGCTGGGCTCTAGCTGCTAGGCTTTCTTGTCAATCTCTCAGCTCCTGCTGTGAAATTGACAAGACAGCCAAGAGCCCAAGTAGTGCAGTGTCTACACAGACACTGTGTCATCCTAACTACACCGACATAAGCCCTATGCCTCTCGTGGAGGTCTAGTACTAAGGCGCTTACATCGGCAGGAGCAAGGCTGTACTGTAGACACTGACAATTAGGTTGATGTAAGCTGCCTTACGTCAACCTAACTGTGTAGTGTAGATCAGGCCTCAGTCACCTCTCAGCCCTTGACTACAGACAGAATTTGTACTGCTTTAACTGCACCAGTATAGGTAAAGTAGTACAATACCTCCTAGTGTGGACACAGTTGTATTGATTTAAAAGTGCTTATATATGTATAACTGATTTTCACAGGGGAAGGGGAATAAGGGGATATACCAATGTACCTTTTTACAACTACAACCTCTATGGTGGATACATAACTATATCAGGTTAAAAAAAAAAAACCACACCCAACAGTTAATACTGGTACAAAAACTGTATAGACCAGGCCTAAGTTTAAAATAATTTACATAGCACTACGTCTACACACCCCTTTACAAATAGAGTAAGATATGTTCTGATCCCCAAATAAGTTTAGAATCTAAACAAAACAAGACTGGTTAACAGCTCATAGAAGGGAAGATGTAGGATTATAAGTAGAAGAGGGAGGTAGGATTGCTTGAAGAGAAGCTGTGAAGGAGGAGAAAGGGCACGTGTGGTGGACGAGGACAGGGACTGTTCCCAGCGTAGGAGACATGAGATCAGACTTTCTCCATATGAAAGCAACGTTTCACAATATGTCTCATAAAATCCTAATATATTTCAAAATAGGGCGGGGCTCTCATTGGACCGGTAATACATCTCTCATCACTATCTTGCACAGTAAAAGAACAAGGATGTGATGCTGATACAGGACTTGATCTGGCAAGATATTCAGCGCTCTGGCCCTGATCCAGCAAAGCACTTAATCACATGCATAATTCCATTGAAGTCAATGGGACTGTTCATGTACTTCAGGTTAAGCATGAGGCTGATTCCTCAGCATCCTGCAGATTCAAGCCCAAAGAAAGACACACACATGCTGTAGCTAAACTTGTCTATGCCACAATTTGGTGTTCATAAAAGCAGCCAGTGTACTGGTTATAATACTCCAGTATTTAGCATACTCCTCAGGAAATGAAGCTTGAGTATGCTAAATACTGCCAAAAACATTCTGAATACCTTGTTTTCTGTGCCTGCAGTATCAATTCAATTAATCTTTGTAAAGTATTTTGTTAATGCGAAGCATTACTCAGAATTCAAGGGGAATTCTTCTCTCAATCGGAAGTGACAGCATTATATGGGTATTCAAGCCTTTCATTAAAGAATGTACAAGAAAAAAACATTTCATGTTTCATCATAGAGCATACATGTCTATACTTGTCTCCCGTCCTCCACACCCATCATGGGAAAGACTTGTTGACAATGTAAGGAATGATGGAGAATAGACTCTTCCTATTAAAAACTGTACCTCATCTTATTACATATGCTATGCTAGCCAGACACTTTCCATCAGCCAAATTTTTATGAATCTTCTCACCAGCGCAAACATTTTCAGAGCAAACGTTTATGCATGCCATAACTCAGGGAAGTGGACAAGAAGGTAGAATGAAAAAGATGGCTGTGGAGGAACTGAATTACTGGGAAGAAGCTTTCCTTTGTATATAACACTTCCCCTATCCTAATAATTACAAAAGAAGCCTATTATATAATGTTGATATAGTAGCAGATAAGTATAAGATTTACTTACCTTTAAACTTAATGGTCAAAACATTCTTCTGCCAAGCAAGCATACAACCACTAAAGACAAATGCAGTTTCTAATGTGAAACAAAACATGGAAGAAACCTTTGCCAGAAGGTCTATTTTGCTGAGATGTGGATTTTTCTCCTGGGTAAGAAAAAAGCAAAACCCCATAAGTTGTGAACAAAAGATGCCATGGACCAACCCCTATAACAAACGTTAGTCTACAATACCATGGGTTTATCAGCAGGTCCAAAGTGGTTTTCAAAGCGCTAGAACCTTCCAAGTCACACCTATGCTTTTAACTCACCTGTATCTTGCACAGTACAGCTTCCACTGTAGAAAGAACCTGAGTCATGTCAACTAGAACACTAGTCTTCTCCGGCAAAGTGGATGAAGAAAGCAAAGCAGTGTTGAGCTGGGATAGACTGCTGGGGAGAACAAAACCCCACCCCTAAAGAGACTGTAGTTAACGGTTAGATCAGCAACCTAAGACAGCTGAAGTCAAAAATAAGATTTTAAGAGGCCTCTGCATACCCACTGTATGAATTACAGATAGATAGCCCATTTAGTAAGGTCCCTGGTGATTGAAGTGGCATAAATCTAAATGCTAAGGAGCTCTTGTTTTTACCTCCCAATGAACCTGTCCAGAGCTGAAAAAAAGTCTAGGATATCACAAAAAACAGCCCTTGCCCACGCAGTCCCTTACATACATAAGAATGGCCATACTGGGTCAGACCAAAGGTCCATCTAGCCCAGTATCCTGGCTTCCAAGAGGGGCCAATGCCAGGTGCCCCAGAGGGAATGAACAGAACAGGTAATCATCAAGTGATCCATCCCGTCGCTCATTCCCAGCTTCTGGCGAACAAAGAGGCTAGGGACACCATCCCTGTCCATCCTGGCTAACAGCCATTGATGAATCTATCCTCCATGAACTTTAGTTCTTTTTTTAACCCTGTTATAGTCTCGGCCTTCACAACATCCTCTGGGAAGGAGTTCCACTGGTTGACTGTGCGTTGTGTGAAAAAATACTTTCTTTTGTTTGTTTTAAACCTGCTGCCTATTAATTTAATTTAGTGACCCCTAGTTCTTGTGTTACGAGGCATAAATAACACTTCCTTATTTACTTCCTCCACACCAGTCATGATTTTATAGACCTCTATCATATCCCCCCTTAGTCGTCTCTTTTCCAAGCTGAAAAGTCCCAGTCTTAATAATCTCTCCTCATATGGCAGCCTTTCCATACCCCTAATCATGAAATGGCGGCCGTATGAGGAGAGATTAGTAAGACTTGACCAGATGCACTAAACCTTAAAGAAACTGGGCTAAATGGGTCTATTTAAAAAGTTTACATTAGGCTGTCCTGACATTCCCTTGGAACCTCAATATCCAAGGGGGCGGGAATACTTACCTTGCTCCAGAAGGGGACCAAAAATGCATCCAGCCCCTGGCAACATAAGCCCAGAACGGGGGTATTGGGCCAGGGTAAGCTTTACAGTTGTTCACCAATTGATGGAACAAAGCCATATATGCTCATCATATATCCAGGTGAAACCTGTGGATACTGTTCTTTAATATAGCACTGAACAGCCACAAAAGCTACATTAGCAGAAGGTTAAAGCTGCAAAGTCAAGTACTCAGAAGTTAGGCAGTGCCAGAATTAAGATTGCCTGTGGAACCTAAACTTGGCCCCCTCATGTGTGTGATCATTATGATCGTCTATAATTACAGGATCACACTCTTCCCCTGGCCCCCCAGGATTCCTGCCTCATTCCATTGCCCAGCACGAACAGTGTTCAATTAATGGGTTATTATCCAGCGTTTCTTTTTATCCTCGTCATTCACAGCGTGTGGCCCCAGGCCTTATGTATTACACACCACCCAAGACCTGCACTGAATACAAAGTTATTAATTTCCTCATAGGCTGTTCTATGGTATCTTAGTTCTTTATGAACCATTACTGAATTTATCTTCACCACACACACTTCTCTGAGGTTAGGTGCTTTGTGGTAAATAATACTTAAAAGTATTTTTAAGAAAAAGCAAAAGTTGTAAAAATAGTGTTTTACATTGTTGAAAGTCATTAAAGCAAACTTTTCCTAAAACAACATCTTGGGGAATCCCCCTTGTTAACAAAATACCAACTTAATACAAGGCTGCCATCACATTGACAGTAAAAAAAATCTCAAACCACCAAAACAGAGGGATCTTTCAACACCAAACTTGATTTTTTTTTTTTTAAGTTTTGTTTTTGCCCAACTTTGGGTGTTGCAGATAACTCACAAATGCAAATATGGTTCTGAAAGAACATCATTTTGTGATTCTTTTTAAAGGAGACAACAAGACACTTGAGGAAAAAAATTCCATCAGGGCTACAAGTGAGCAAGTTTAACCACTAATGCACAAAATTTTCATGGTTTTTATAAATGTACAGCTTTAACTGTACCAGCAGCAAAAAAGGGGGAATGTTTTTTCCATCTTTGCCCATTCTGGGCAAACAGCCAAAGAAGTGATAAAAGCTGGTTTGTTCTAAAACATCCTACAGACATATAACAGCTGCAGCTCTACGTTTTGTTTTAGCTACAAATAAAGTGAGTTGTAAGTTCTTCGCTTTGTTAACATCTGGAAAGTTTAATATGTAATCAAGTAAGATTTGTAAACGCCAACTTTGAGATAAGGAATTTGCGAACCTTAAAACATAACCAAGTACTCCCCCCACCCCTTTTCCTTTATACAGTTAAGATTTTTCTTTATAAATATGATTTTAGAAACAAATATCCAATCCTAGACAAAATTAGTCCATAAAAAAGAGGGATTATGTTCTGGTTACTGGGCCGACGAATTTTCATTAATTGTTAGCTCAACTGTAAAAAGTACATCAAAGTTCATAAGATGTTACAATAACCTATAATAACTTGCTTTCCATTAATATTTGTTAAGTTGCTTTCAATAATGTTATAAACAGGCACAGGAGAACCAGATAGACTAAATTAGTTTAAACAAAAAGGCCATATTGATAATTATGCTTACTATAAACAGGAGATGTGGAACCAGAAATTAATGAACCAAAATTGGTGTGGCAGATATTAGGCCTAATCAGGAGACAAAATAATGAGGTGAGCTATTCAATCTGCCATTCGCTTTGTTGGTCCTTAAAGAAAGAGAGTTGGGGAGGGTGGGGACAGGCAGAGGCTACTGGAATGAGCTTCACCATCATGGCTATCACCCCCACCATCTCCCTTCTTCATCCCTATCCTAAGGAATGCCCTGACCAGATCAGGCCAGACGCAGGGATCCAGATGACATGGCCATCCCTACCAGCTCTAGCAGAGTCCCCAAACACCATCTGAAATGAAATGGGATCAGTCTAACAGCAGCAGCAGCAGCTCCTGTCCATCTCAATTAACTTCTCTTTTCCCCAAAAGGACAATTATGATCTTTAATACCATCTAAGAGACTGTCAGACAAGGGTTTATTTTTCCCTTATAACTCTCTCCAGCTAAAGGGAAAAGGGACAAGAAAAGTTGTTAAAATGAAAGCCTTACCTAATACTTTACATGTCAGATGCTTTAAACTGTTTTTCCTCCTTCTCGATCTGTAATAAAAAGTTAAAAGGATTTATAATGGTTGCTTTGCCATAGTATTGGACAGGCTGAGGTCTCTGTATACGAAACTCTAGACCTTGTTTAATGCTGGACAGTGATGAAGTTATGTTAACACTTTTGACCTATTTATTTTATCTAAATTCATACAACAGGTGGTATTATCCCCATTTTACACATGGGATATGGAGGCACAGAGATTAAAGCCAAAATTGCCAGAAACGTCAATTTGGGTACTCAATCTGGGAAGCCTTGGGCCTGGTTTTTCAGTGTATTTAGCATTTTATACGTTCAGAGTAAAGCTCACTGACCTCAGTGGCAGTTGGAGCATTCACTGCTGATACAAATCAGTCCTCAGGGTTCGGTACCCAGAAAATAAGGAACTAACTGTGGTTGCCTGGGAATATTTTGGTTTAGGACACATGCCCAGCACCAAGTAAGAACTCTGTGGTAGAAGCAGAGATAAAACCCACTTCTTTGGAGCAGCATTCAACTGCTTGAAGCACAAAACTACCTTTTCTCTTCCTACCGGATCCCTGCCTCATTTTCCACACTTTCCAATTTTCACAATTAATGAGGCAGGGGTCCTACAAATCCCTTATTTACTGCTCGACTCATTCATTCCCAGATGACAGTCCATCCTTTTCACTGAATGAGGCAGAAGTCTGGTGGAAAAAACAGTATGTGACCATGTAATTAAAGACTGTGTCATAATGCATACACTGAAGACATCACTCTAAAGGTTACACAGGGAACCTAATTTTGGCATTTCCTAACTTCTGAGTGTTTGGCTTTACAAACCTAAATGTTTTAGCATAGTATCTCTGAAATAGCTTCCTAAATTTTAAAAACGTAAATGAAAAAAAAATGGCATCCTGTGCAGACATACTGAACACCCCACATGGGTCACCAGCAGGGTTAGGAACTTTAAATCTATATCAGTCCTCTGCCACCTGAATTAATGTAGTATCTTCTATGTGTACGTGCCATTAGAGTGGGATGGGAACATACTTTACCAGTGGGTTCCTCACCTGTTTACTAGACAGCAAAAGAATGTTGAGACGCAGGAAAAATGGGTTCCTTTCCAGGTCCTGCAGGGGAGTGTGCTTTAGTGGTTATAGCCCTTCCGCCCCATTCCTCTCCTTCTCCCTTTCTGCTCCTACCCACCTTACTCCCCAATTTTCCCCATGACTATCCCTCCCGGCTCCTACTCATCACCCCCATGCCTTACTCCTGCTCTGCTCCCTGTCACTCCTATTCTCCCCGCCCCCTCAGTTCTCTCCCTTTTGTTTCTATCCCCCTCTGCTCCTGTCACTTCCCTTTCCAGCACCTGTCCCTGAATTCCACCTCCTGCCAGCTTCTACCCTTGTCTGTCCTCCACCCCTCACCTTTCTACAGTCAAGTCAGGCCAACTCCTCCTCCTCACTAACCACACACACAGTAGGGAAGGCATTGAGCGCACAGGAAAAAAACGTTTCCATGTTCTCCCTCTAGCAGAACAATTGCAAAGAAAGTCCTATTCAGCCACTGCAGCCCTGGGATGGAGCATTTTCAATCACTCTATAGGGAAGGCACATGCGCAGTCCAGTTGGCATGTAGAAGCTGAGAGGGGCTGGAGCATGCTTCAGAGAATTTAGCTGTCAATCTCTAACAAGTCTCTACTGAACATATACAGATTTTTCAAAGGCCACATGAAAACATTTCTGTAACAGAAGGGCAAACGGACATCCCACCCTGACACATTTCAAGTCCTTGTTCCACAGAATGGAGTTGTGACAGGTTCTCAACAAAGCAGATGGGAATTTTCAGCCCTAACAGTTTAACTTTGGCAAAGTTATATGTAACTGCAAACAAGATCTTACAATAGAAAACGCTGGCCAAACTTAACTATAGGTGTCACTAAAATACCACGTACCACCAAAAATAACACTGGTCTACTATTTTTGAGAAGTCGT